CATATTTGTATCATTTCTACTGTCTTCTCTCCCCTCCAGCTTCTGTTATGTCCCTTTCTCCCTCTTGAGTTCATGACTTGTTCTTCTAACATGTTTGTTACACACACACACAACACCTTGAGTTCATATAGCTGTTTGTTTGTTTTTCATCAACAACACTTGGCAGTTGATTAACTATTCAAGTACAGTAGCATCTGGGAAGATTGGAACAGGATTGGAAAGTGAATAGATACCCAGATTCAACAAGGTTGGAAGAAGCCCCAACATGTTCTTGGCAAACATCTTCACAGAGTTAATACAGTACCAGCTATTAACCCAGCACAGCAAGTGCACTGAAGTGGAAAGATGCCATGAGAAAATTAGCTATGTTAGAAAGATCAACACTTAAAAAATAAAAGAGTAAAACACTTTCAGTTTCTGCCTTGTTCAACAAGCCCTGTGGCCAGCAAGACTAAGTCTCCACCATGGAAAGATATCTCTAAGACCTAAGTCAGGAACCTGTTTACTCCATGCATTTGAGTTCAAAAGTAGTGCAAAACAAAGCACTTTTATTAAAGCAAGCAAGAACATGAGGTGATGTTTACAGTTAGCTTAAACTAATGCAAGCACAACAAGGGAAAACACCTGGTGTATGTCTTACACCTTTTGTCATGGGAAAAAAGACAAGAATATTCCTTCCAGGCCTATCTTATCTTGTGTGTTATTTCAAAAGTCTGAAATATTAGAGTGCTCACATCTGGATATTGTTTATAGTCAATGTGGTCTCTTTAGCAATAAAATGTTGCTCAGTTTTAGAGTACTACACCTCTCATTTTACCCAGTTACTAATTTATCACTGTCAGTATGGTGGTGGTAATGCTAGTAATTTGTTAAAGACACGTGTCATTTTCCATATCTCTGTCTACATCCCTGCCACCAGCTCAGGTATAGAGAGGAGGAACACTGCAGCAATATCAACAGATGTAGGACCCAATATGGGACGGTCAGCATCACAATCAGTAAGGAGAGCTTGTGTGTCTCATGGGTGATGTATACCCGATGTGGGCTGTCAAAGCAGCATAGGCACAATATGACCCAAACCACAGCCTCAGAAAATTCCTTTGATAAAGCTGCCAAAGTGTGATTGTGGACCCTAGATGAGGACCCACTATTGCCATTATCCTAAATCAATATAGCTTCTATCTGTGTTGTACATATTTTTCCTTATATTCATAGATAAATGTAGCATGTCTCATCAACAAACGTGCATTTGGCAATAGATGGTGACTCCTACAGAGATCTACAACTTGTCAAATGTAAAGAAAAGTGACCATGGAGTGCCCAGCCCTGACTGGTACATCTACAACATAATGCCTACACCCAAGATTCTCTTCTGTTGAGTGAACTTTAGGTCACATTGGACAGCTTTGTTTGCCCCCAAGATATAAGTGCTACTAATTGCACCACTGGGAATGTCCTCCTGGGCCTATCATTGTGGTCCAGGGGATTTACAGTTGAGTAGAACTACTGATTCCTTTTCTCCTTTGGCAGCTTGAACATTCTCATTCTATGAGAGCTACCCTCAGGGACAATTCTTCCGTGTCAGTTCAGTTCAGTTCCTCCAAATCCTGAGTCTGAAGTGTGTGGTGATTTCAGCAACCTTCAATTTGTGGGAATCAACCAAGGGCAATCCCAACAGCCTAAATTGTTTTGAAAGTCTCTTAGGCACCTGGCCAACAACTCAAAGAGAGGTTTCCCTTGTCTGTTACTATTACTGGGGTTTTGATAAGCTGTGACTTTCAGGGGTGGGAGGGAACTTCTGTAGAGCAAAGCAAGCCCACAGAGTTGGAAAGAATATATATATATATATATATATATATATATATATATATATATCCATATATATATATATATATATATATCCATAAGAGGATTAATACACATAATGAATAACTCAAGAAACAAAGAGTGAAAAAGGAAGAAAAAATAGCTCCTCCCAAAAAAGACTGTGAGTCTGAACAGAATTCTCAGAAGAAAAAATAAACATGGCTAAAAGTGCTTACCATGCTTAGCTCTCAGGGAAATGCAAATTAAAGAGTTAAGTGTCTCTCATGTGGAAATGTGCCAGCGTAGAAACCAGGAAACTCTGTGGGCAGGATGTGGTCTGAACCTCTCTGCAAACTTTAAAGTGAGGTGGCCTCTCAATGTGAGTGCCTGCGTATACAGATCTTGCAAGCCAGGGGCCAGATACAACCCATAGAACACTGCTTTTGCACGACTGCCACTGCCAGCTGTAATAAGGGACAATAGTGACAACAGGAGTGGAAGGATCAACCACATTTGCCAAAGCCTTGCTTTGGTCCAGGCACTGTTCGTTTTACATATATTCATATATTCAAGTCACACCCGACACAAATCACTTCACAGATGAGGAGGCAGAAAGGATACAACTGGAAATGCTGAATTCACCTAGATTAAGATGAATTGACTGGTGTCAGTTTGGCTTCTTCCAAAGAGCTCAAAATCTAGAAATACGTATAAGTTTATGATGTCTGAATTTCACACTGAAGCTTAAAGTCATTGAGTTGCTTATTGAGCCGGACTGTGCCAGCAGAAGGGCCGGCAGCTGCGGTGAGCAAGCTAGGTCCATGACCACCCAAGCCCTAAAGGGCTGCCACACCCTGCTGGGGACCAGATGATTTCTGTGGCCCATGTTATCATCAAGGACCATGCAGAAGTCTATGGTTTGTGCTAGAGTCTGAAATCACATTGATATCCTGTCATGGGCTGTATTGATGTGAATGGCCTGAGGCCATGCTAATGTTACGGTCTGGGCAGCCTATGAGGACCTTGTCTGGTTTGCGGTAATACTGCCGCAGAGGGCTATGTTCGTGGTCTGTGCCGTTACCAGAAATTGGCTGGAGAACCATGACCCACACTCCGGTTGACTGTGAAAAGCAAGGAGACGACTTTTGCTATGATATTGGTGATTGTCAATGCGCAATTGAGAGTGAAGGACATGAAAGGTTTCTGTGACAACCCCTATACCCCATCCTCTAAAATAACAGCCAACACAGGAAGTCACTGAGGAGAACTCTTATAAAAGTGTGGCAGAGATGCTGGAGTATCTCTCCATAATTGGTGGCTTCTGGCAGAAGTATGGGAGAAGAAGGGCTCAGTTCTACTTAAGGGGCAAACCACTAAATCATGTTCCAGCTTGTATATAAATAACACTAATGGCTTGCCTTCCTTCCTTCCTTCCTTCCTTCCTTCCTTCCTTCCTTCCTTCTTCATTTCTTTTTGGGGGGGGAGGTCACAAGTGGGGGGCAAACAGGGAAGTACTGTGAAGGGATTGCCATATGAGAGAATTGTCATACGAGAGAATCAATAAAAATATGTGCGGGGGGAAAAAAGTTCCTTTTTGTGAATTTTTAGTTGGGTGGCATGGATATCCGTCAAGAAATAATCACATTAGCAATATGTTAGCAAAAAAGTGCAGGAAGTGTTAGAGTAACACCCAGTTCAGAAGACCGGGGAAGACATTGCATCTAATCTAACAGCTCCTCATTTTCTGATTCATTGGCTAATTCTTGCTTTCGTTTTTCTTTCAGCACATGCTTTGCTCTAGTGTAAAGACTTTCAGTGCTGCTTTTGGGGACATCTTAAATCCTCTCATGGATATAACACTATGATTTCATGAGACTGAAAACTAGCAACATGCTGAAAACTAAATTCAATTTTTCTTTCAAATGTCTTGTTTAGTTGACAGACTATCAACATATGTATAGATGAGTAATGAAGGCAATGGCCATAATGTATACATTCTTATTCCTTTAATACATAGCATATTGTTTAGCAAGTAATTCTATTGTAGTAGTATTTTTCACTTCATTTATGTTCTGCCATTAGCAGTTATTATAAAAAGTGAAGAAACAAGAGGGTACAATTATATTTAATATATACAAAACTTAAGAGTGATTTTTATTTTAAAAGGTAAACTAAATACAAAATATATTTGTGTGCTTTCAACGTAGTTCTTTATTTATAGGATATTTATAGAAATAGTTTTTAAAATACAAATTAAGAAACAATGAGCATTACACATTTTATTTCATTTTTAAATATTTGCATAAGTCTTATTTGGTAATAAAAGTATACTCTCTCATAATTATATGTTCAACCTTTAGGCAGTTGGATTGGTATTACTATTCTTGTTATATCTAAAATAATACAAACTGCTTAATGCAATTAAATGTTCTTCAACCACCGTGTTTGACTGTTGTGAATGTTCTCAAGAGTGACTGTTAATACTTGACCTAATATGAAAAGATATAAGAAGAGGTATGCTTGGGATTGCAGGTCTTATTTGTTTATTTATACTGAGACTATTGCTAATAGCTCATGTTGGCCTCCTCCCTCAGTCTCCCTAGTACTAGGAGATGTATAGTCATGTACCACAAAACCTGACAAAGAACAAGAAAAAAAATCTACTGTATTTTCCTATCTGTGAGAAAGACTTTAATCAGTTCATTTGTCTTCTCTCTTTGCTAATTCCTACTATGTAAAAAATCTTTTCTGCATTCAGAATAATGCCCATCTTTTACTTTGTCTTGGAGACTAGACACAATTACTCATGGAAATTAAACAGCATAGCCTTTGTTTTAAGAAAGTAACATATATAGAAAAATGATTTCCTGGTTCATGTCATGAGAATTGATACTAGAGATTTGTCATGGTATCATCTTACAAACTATCAGACCCTGTCAAACAGAGACATACTTCTTTTCAATCAATAATAAAAATGTTTATAAAAATACCCATATAAAAAGAGACTATTAACATTACTTCATTTCCATGATTATTGTCATGCTTATGTGTTCTTTAATAACTTTGGGAATCACCATATTTTCAATATTAGAAAACAAAGTGTTTGTCTCTTTTATTGAGTTCTACTTTGATAGAAGTAGTTACAAAATTATACTTCAATTGAACTCTGATGGGCTGTCTCTGTGTTCCTACAGAAGTGAGGAGATCAAATCCGGTGATAACCAACCCAAGTGCTCCCACAAGATCCCAGGAAGTTCCATTACAGGAACACATCTCAAGCAAATGGATCAAATCACCCCAGCAATGATGTGCTGAAATTCGTGTGGGTAGGGATGAAATAAACTCTCACGGTATTTAAACAAGGAGTTACATGGTCAGATTTGCTGATGGCTATCTTCCTGTCACATGACTTGTCCTAGTATGAAAAGTCAAACTCAAGAGAATCAAGCAAAACCATAGAAAGAGTGTGAATCCTTTCAACAAAGCTGAATTGAACACTGACTTGAATACAGCCAAGCCAGCTAGAAAGACTACATACATTACTACATAATGCTTGAACGCATTATGGAAGCCACTAAAGCTCCTCATCAGGCAATGGTTTCACCTCTGATTTACAGACATATATACAGATCAACAATTTTCTCTCATCCTTTACTTAAATATAATGTAAGTTGAGTTTGTATTGCAATTAAAATCACAGGTAAATGCTTTAAACTTTTAATGTCATTAGGTCACAGAAAAATGCAGGTATATGACAGACAGTACTCAGAAGCTGTAGCTAGAGGTAGAAGATAGGGAATTCTCATATTCTCCATACTGAAAGATAAGTGGCACAAAGGGACCATGATTTAAAAAAAGTGAACATGAAAGACACTCAGTCAGGTTGGAAAAGCTAAAAGAACTGGATGTGGTGGTTTGAAAGAAATGGTCCCAAAGGGAGTGGCACTATTAGGAGGTGTGGATTTTTTGGAGTAGAGATGGGCTTGTTGGAGGAATTGTGTCGCTATGTGGACAGGCAGGATTGAAGGTCTCACATGCTCAAGTTACTCCTAGGGTGGAGTCCACTTCCTGTTGCCTGAATTTCAACATGTAACAGCAACCTCTTCAGCATCATGTCTACCTGTGTGCTGCCATGTCTGGCCATGATGATAATGGACTGAACCTCTGAACTATAAGCAAGCTACCAGGATTAATTGTTTTCTTTGTAAGAGTTGCATGGTCATGGTTTCTCTTCACAGCAGAAGAAATCCTAAGACACTCTGCTCTTGTCCACAAACACAAGAAATTTGCAGTATAAGGTTAAAATAGTGGTAGGATACATAATGTGATGAGTGTGGGCTCAGAACAGAAGAAAGTCACCATTGGTCCTTCTGTCTGTCCTATCTGCACTTTCTAAATGGTGAACCCTTTGTCATGAAGGCAAGATCAAGGAAGGGGAGGGCAAGTTTTATCATCAGAATTGTTTTATATTGGGAAATAGCGGTTTCTTTTAAATGACAAAAAAGTGAAGAAAATAATCTTCATAAAAAAGGGGGCACTTTAGAAACTCATTTGTTTTTTACCTCCACTTTATTGAAGCATGATTGGCATAGAGAAAGTCACACACATTTAACATAAATCACCTGATGTGTTATGGAATAAAGATGTAGAATGATACCATTATCACAATCTATTTTATAAATATATCTGCTACCAGATTTTAATAGAAAAACCCCAGGACAGTAATCTGTCCAAATATCTGCCTCAAGGAGAAAAATGGAGGAGAGAAGAAAAAAAAGTATTCCATGTGAGCTGGCATCAAGTTCAGACAGATGACAGACAGCAGCCACATATACAACAGGAGAGGGGCCTTTAAAGAAAGTATGAAAATCCAACATAGTGTTAAATAAAACACAGAAAATAGATAGAAAGGACAAATGGAAGTTACATGTTTTTAAATAATGCAAGCAAGCAGGCTGATTTACAAACTCTGGGCCTGCTGCCCTGAATCCCTGAAAGCTACTGCACTATGGAGATTTAACTGGCTATCTTTGTTAGCAGGCAAGGCTTCCAGTGGTGTAACTGAACACCATCCAAACCACAAAACCATCGACCTACAATCTATCTTGCCTGCAAGATGGGCTGGAACAATGGTGGCAAAGAACTAGTGGGAGTGGTTATACCACGACTAGTCTAATTTAAGGCAAAGGAGAAGGAGTGCATGACCAATATTGGTTCACCAAGAGCTGCAGGCTGGACACCTCTGAGACCTAGGGTAGAACCAAATATGACTGGAAAAAAATCAAATAAACAATTGCTAATGATGTTCTGCTATACTCATAGATCGGTATCTAGTACAGAAGTCATCAGAGATGCTGACTCCTAAAATTAAAGATAAAGGGATCCATAACCAAAAACTAAGTGGATAAAGAGCCCAGATTGGAGGTCTCAATTGGGTCCCCCCTCCAAGCTACGAGAACCCTTTGAAAGAAGGAAGGAGGTCCTATAGGAGCCAGAGAGGTCAAGGACAACTGGACAAAACGGCTTAGGGAATCAACTAAGCAGGGCTCACAAGGGCTCCCAGGTACTGAAGTGACAATAGTGGAGCATGCATGGGTCAATGCTAGGTCTTCTGCATATGTTATGATTGTTGGCTTGGTATTTGGGGGGTCTTCTTACAGTGGGAGTGTGGCTATCTCTGACTCTTGCCTACTTTGGGGACCCCTTTCCACCTGCTGGGTTGCCTTGTCCAGCCTTGATGTGAGGGTTTTTGCCTGGTCTTATTGTAACTTGTTGTGTTCCCTTGATTTTCCTGGAAGGCCTGTTCTATTATGGATAGGTACAGTGGCAGGTTGATCTGGGGGGAAGGAGGCTTGGTGAAGGGGAGAGTTGGAAGAAGGGGAAACTGAGGTTGGGATGTTTGAGAGAATACATAAAAAATTTAAAAACAGAATTATGGGGAAGAAAGTATAGTATTTCTTTAAAGAGGAAAAGTATACTATAGTATCTCATCAAATTGGTCATTCCACCCATCTTTATAGCATGGCTTAAGAAAAGTAACAAACCAAGATCTATTGGAATGAGGCCCCACCTAGGTCAGAGAATCTTTTCTCTTAACCAGAAAGAATTATTTTCATTCTAACAGGTCTATGCTAACAAAATCTTACATTCCATAGAGAAATAAACAATGTGATTAAATTACTCCGTTATTTTATATAATAAGAAATACAAGTATATTTATAAATCAAATAGTTCACTGAACATGTCATGTATTTTGTTTTGTTTTGTTTTTGAGTCAAGCACTTAAGAAGTGTGTGAATGTTAAGACACATTGTTTCGAATAATGAACAGATCCCCAGAAAATGCCTCAGAAATGAGCTCAATTTTGGCATATAGAATTTTATGATCAATTCCTTAACATTAAATCTAGATTTTATTATAAAACAGATAGAGATCCCCTTTTACTATTCATGAGGGACTTTTGTTTGTTTGCTTTAGACATCTGTTCTTTAATACACACATATGTATGTGTGTCTATACACATGCAGTTTATCTCATGGAATGACCTACTGAGACAAAATGGCTTAGAACTGACTTGTCTTTGCTGAAGAAAAATCTAGGAACATGTAATTTATTTTAGTTCCAATCTGGAATTTCTAGGTTGATGTGGGATTCCCCTCTTATGCTATGAATGCCATTGGTTAATAAAGAAACTGTGTTGGCCTGTTGATAAAGCAGAGCTTAGGTAGACAGGGAAAACTAAAGTGAATGATGGGAGAAGGAAGGCAGAGTCAGAGAGCAGCCATACAGCCCCACCAGAGACAGACATGTTGAAACTTTGCTTTTAGGCCACGACCTTGTGGTGATGTACAGATTAATGGAGATGAGTTAAATTAAGTTGTAAGAGTTAGCCAATAAGAAGCTAGAGCTAATGGGCCAAGCACTGATTTAAATAATATAGTTTCTGTGTGGTTATTTTTTGGCTGAGCTGCCGGGAACCAAGAAATGGCCCTCTCCTATAGTTCATGCTTGTATTAAACAAACAAACAAACAAACAAAACCCATTCAATGTTTGTCAAAGACTAGTAAATATGACATCACTGTTGTCTAACTTTCTATTAACATATCTGCACTATTTACATGTCCATGTACGTGAGTGACAATGAATTATTTTAATTAAATATTTACTAGTCATTGTGCTAAGCAATTAATCTTTCAGTCAAATCACCATTAACCACTCTATGAGCTGGGAGCTATTTCCATTTCCAGAGAAAAGAATGTAGAATTGCCTCACAATGTAACTGTGTTACATAACCATTCTCATCAGATCTCTCTTCTTCTTGGGCTCATGACCTGAACCACTACAACTTACCCTTTATCTTGGTAAATAGAAAATAGAGAATAAAAATGAAAATAAATTATATTTTGTTCAGAATTTTTGTATTTTATTTATTTATCTATTTGTTTTACATCATAAACACAGTTTCTCCTCCCTCTTCTCCTCCCATCCCCTCCCTCCACCACCCCTCTGCTCCCCTCTCAATTAGTTCTCCTCTGTTCCTATCCAGAAAGTGGCAGGCCTCTTATGGGTATCAACAAAGCATGGCTTATCAAGGTACTATAAAACTAAGCACTTCCCCTTGTTTTAAGTCTTGGCAAGGTAATCCAGTATGAAGAACAGGTTTCCAAGAGCCAGTCAAAGCATTAGGGATAGTCCCTGTTCCCATTGTTAGGAATCTCACAGGTAGACCAAGCTACATATTTATCACACATATGTAGAGGGCCTAGATCCATCTCATGCAGGCTTCAGGGTTGTTGGATTTTTTTTTGTGTGTGTGTGTGTGTGTGTGTGTGTGTGTGTGTGTGAGAGAGAGAGAGAGAGAGAGAGAGAGAGAGAGAGAGAGAGAGAGAGTTTCTATAAGCCAAACAGGTTAGTTACTTCTTTGGGTTTTCTTGTGACTTTTTGACCCGTTTAGTTCCTACAATCCTTCCTCCCTCTCTTCAGCAGGATTCCCTGAGCTTGGTCTAATATTTTACTTTGTGTCTCTGCATCTGTTTCCATCAGTTACTGGATGAAAACTCTCTGATGCCAATTTGGGTAGTCATCAATCTGATCACAGGAGATGACCAGTTCAGGCTATATACCCACTATTGCAAGGAGTCTTATTTGAGGTAATCTTTGTAGATTTGTGAGAATTTCCCTTTCGTCAGGTTTCTATCTGACCCTGAAAAGCCCCATTTCCTGTCACCTCTCTCAGTACTCTCCTCCTCAACTCTCCTCCAAGCCTGATCCCTCACCCACCCCCAGTCCATCGAGGAGATTTCTTCTATTTCCCCTTCCCAGGGAGATTTTATATATATGGGTTAATATAAATTATAAGAGCTAATCCAAAGCCTGAGCTAATGGGCCAATCAGTTTATAAATAATGTAGACTCTCTGTGTAATTTTCTTTGGGAAATATATATCTTCCCACCCTCAGGTCCTCCTTATTATCTAAACTCTCTAGGTCAGTGGATTGTGGCATGGTTATCCTTTTTTTTTAC